TGACTGGGATGTCTTACTTCCTCCACTGTTGATGGCCTATAGGACAGCAGAGCATGAAACCACTGGATACACTCCAGCAAAGTTGATGTTTGGTCGGGAACTTCGGTTGTCAGTGTACCTGATAACAGGACGCCCACCTTATGAAGAGTTGCCTGAGAATGTGTCAGAGTTCGTAAAAGTGTTATCTGAATGGATGGATGATTGAAACTTGAAAACGTCTGATGATTCTATGAAGCTATGTTATGATAAGAGATCTACTGAAGTCAACTTTGTATCAGGAGACAAGGTGTGGTTGTATAATCCCAGGAAGACCAAAGGGAAGGCTCCTAAGTTGTCTTCTCCATATGACATAATGGATCGTCTCTCAGACGTAACTTTCGGAATAAAATGTGGTTGGCGAGGTAAGCCAAAGGTGGCGTATGCCAGCAGGCTTTGGTGTTATCATGGTCCAGGACATTTCAGTTGGAACGAAAGGAACAATGAAACAAATGATGCTGTTGAAGACGTGTCACCTGAAAAAGCCACTGTCGAAGAGAAACTCTACCCGGTTTTGAGAAGGGAGACAGTGAAGCCCTTAATGAAGTTACTACATTGATGTGACTGTTATTGATAATAGGAAATTTCCTGATGGGACAGATGAACTCTACGTGAAGCAGAAGCCAATGGGACAGAGACAAGTTTCGAAGAAGATACGTCCTGTGAAATTAAGAGACTTTGTTGTATTTTAAATTTTGTGTTTGTAAATTCTGTACATTTATATAAGTTATTGTTAAGTATCTATTGGTTTAATGTAAGTGGCTATTGTTCGGGATGAACAATACTAAGGATGGGGCTGTTACGTCTCCGTTTGTTAATTGATTTTCCGTAACTTCGTTCCGACAAAACTTTAGCGACACAAGTCCTTACTTAATAAAACTAGTTTATTCTATCCGAATACAACTTTACGATACACTTATTTTCAACACTCGCTCTATAACAAACGCTATATCAACGAACGTCAACAATACTTCTGACTGCAGTTCAATTACTCACTATCTACACACACATTACCTTGCCGTCACGTTGTCACCCTCTTTTATATACCAGACTACCCTATATCTAGTAAATGCTAGAGCATTCGCCAAAGTACAGGATAGTTCTAGAAAGTAGAGGGCATGAGAACAGTCACGTGATCTCGATGTCGCAACAGGGCAATGTTACGACAGCAGAAGTCACGTGATCCTGGTAACACGTCATGAGTTTCTTGAAGGATCATGACTTTTTCTGGCAACTTTAGTCTTTTCCAGGCGCCCTCTATTTTAGTATATAAGCCCGGCAAATAATTGCAGATAGAGAGATATAGAGACAGATAATTGAGTCAAGGGAGCTGTAGTGACCGTAGTGAAGTACGTGGATCGTTGTGAATTATAGCGTGTGTTTAAGTCAAAGTGACTGTGGAAATTCTTTGTATTGCAAAGTTATATTGAGAAAAAATAAACTAGTTTTATTTAAGAAAGGACTTGTATCGTTGAAGTTCCTCGGAAAGAATTTATACCGGAAATTAACAAACGAGCAGATACGTAACAATATATTTATTATACAGTAATAATGTATTCTTAGTTTTGCCTTGATTCTTTATCCAATCTCCATGTCAAATACATATTTGTTTGTGTTACTGACCTTATGGATTTTTAAAACTAAATGTAAAACCTTTGTAATGTTTTATAAACTCTTCATTTCCCTAAAACTTTTCAGCGTCTCCCTAGAGATTATTGATTTTTAGAATGAATAAGCTAGGTGGCCCTATTTATGTCAATCCGCCAAAGAGAAAGAGAGTTATATATAATTAAAGCGCGAAAACTGTTTCTGGTGGTTGTGGTCGTCCCAGTATTTGTGTTAAAAAAGTGTTAACGTCGATTATATTATACTGTAAATTTTAATGAAACTAGGTATTTTGTTGAGGAAAGTTTTACTTTTGGACTTCATGAGAAAGTCACAAATGTACGAGTGTTGCATCTTGTTTTGTAATTAGTATTATTATCAATATTGTGCCATGCGGTGAAGATTTGCTAGGCCTATGTTAAGCAAGAAATCAGTTTGATGTCATGATAGTGATACTGTGAATTGCAGCCGACTGTCGTTTATTAATAAACATTAGCTTATAATTTTCTGTCACAAAGCTGTGTAGGCAGTGGTGAAATTCATAAAAAACTGCTATTCATAGAGTTACAGTCACTGTATTAATTTATTATTTTAAGTTTAACCTGCGTTTCGGAAGTTTGATTTTGTCAAATTTTAGTTATTTACACTGTCTGGTCCCGTTGTCAGATAATACTGACATTAGCTAAATCTTCTACTTGCCAGGTTTGGTCACTCTTAAAACTTACAAAAAAATTTTCTTAGCTCTAAATTATCGTACAGTTTATAGATTATAGACCTGATGGCAAAAGTTCATGTGTGCAACGTTAATGTTTTAGATAACCCATCATTATTTTATAATCCATTTCAATTTGAAATAACCTTTGAATGTATTGAAGATCTGAAAGAAGGTAAGTTAAAAATTGTTTATTGCTTCAGTTTCAAATTTGTATGCCTATTATTATTAATAGTATTTACAAAAGAATTTAGATTGTTTTGTCAGAAAAATTGTCCATTATCAGATGCATAATTTGGGGTTTCATTTTTAGGAAATTGTAATGATTTCTTCTATGATTGAAACATTCATAACCAATTTTTCTCTAACATAACCAAAATAGAACACAAAAATCCCAAAATAGATGTCTCATATGATAATAAATCATACAATTTTGAGTCTATGTAATGTGCCTATTATTTAATCATTATTAATGTTGTGAACACATATAGCAAAACAAAAGTTTTACTTTTGAAAACTCATTTAACAGTTTAAATACTAATTTTACAAAATCTTGATTATTATTATTACTACTATTACTAAGAACTTTTGATTAAAAAATAAACTAGAACGATAAGTGAAATGTAAAAGTTGTCATATGAGGACAGGCTAAAATCTGAAATTTTCTTTTGAAAATAAAAAAAGATTTAGAGGAGTTCTGGTTGAGATGTTTAAGATTGCTAAGGGAATTGATTGTGGTGATGCCACACACTTTGATCACGATTTTGACAATATTTGTACCACTTCCCAGTTCTACAGCAGAAATATTTGGAAAGAGAACAACTTGTTGGTGAACACACAAAAAGACAGATTTGTCCATTATCTTGAAGTATGAGTAAGATAGGATATATTTATTTATTTAAAATCTATACGAGTCCAATTTTGACATTCAAATACAATATTGCAACAAATCAAGACCATCCATGGATTGCAAACCCTTGTTTGAGTCAATTGTAAATAGTCTAAACATACTTAAACATTATTGTAAAATATTTTTATTTTAGGCCAAACATATGTACTATAAAATAAATGTATTATATAAAAGCACCATTTTAGAAAAATTAAAAACTGTTGTCTCTTGAGTTTGCATTGCAAATCATCATATGTGACACTTCCATAATATTAAATATTTATGTCCTAAAATTCTAATTAACATGAAAAAAGAATTTTGGGCTATCTCTTTTAGATTGTAATAGTAGAATAGCTTCTACTGTGAAAGCAGTCTAGCATGCATGAAGTTATAAGAACAATAATAATAACATGCCTATGTATATTCTCCAGAAGTTCCAATTCTAGTTACTATCCATACTTAACAAAGTGATTAAATGTTGGTGTGGTGCAAGTTTATGAAAAGTGTTTTGTCTTTTGGCATAATTTCTCCTTTTTTGTATGAAAGTAGTAGAGTATATAAACCAATATAAACAATTATGTTTTAATGAAGATTACAAGTTGATAGTACATGTACATCTGTTCCACCTCAACTTATTTAAACATCTTCAAGTTCTCCGTTATCTTATGTGGTTTTGGTTTGGTGGGTGTTGGTATTTCCATATTTCTCACCCCATGACAAGTACAAATCTCTATGCAGGGTAACCTATGTTGGGGACAGGAACATCCATTACTGTCCATGTGCCTAGAACTATGTGAACACATCATATTCTGTATGATTTAGGATGAGTAGGACCACCATTCCAAACTGGTAGAATAACTTCAGAAGGCTAGTACCATCACCTGAAGTAGCCATTTTACATAATACACTGTCTATCCCTCTACAGAACTCTTAAGTGAGAGTAAATCCTGCAAGTATATAAATGATAAATTAAGTTTTTGCAAATAACAGTCAATCTCACACACTAAACATTATATTATGGCTTGATTCCTGAAAGTTAAGTAAATTACAATGATGTATGAAAAATGACTACTACGTATGGTACCCATATTGTGGTAATTCCTTTGCTAATTCGAGTAAATGATAATATAGGTTCTATTAAACCTTTTAATGAGATATATTATTTTTGTAACAAGACAAATAAAACATACAGGTAAATCATGGAAAAATTTTAAGCTGCTATGATAAGAAAAATAATACCAGTGCAATCAGAAAAGGTGTTTAAACTGTACACAACCTTAAAAGAATAGACATGTTATGTCAGGGTTTTGATCATCTATGCACTATGATCATTTGAAAATGCATATTATGGCTGATATATCCAAAAAGAAGAGAAAATCTTCTTTAAAAGAAAACATTAACATCATGTCTTGTATCTGGACTGACTTACAAATGTTTATTAGAATATTACTTGTATACATTTAGACTTTCAAAGAATCACTCGTAGCAAAGGTTTACAATCCATGGTTGTTCTTTTTTTGTGGCATTAGTTTACTTGAATTTCAGAACTGGACTCATACATATTGAAATGAACCATTACAGATTATAAAAAATATATTCTCCATTTCTCATAATGAGAGCATAGCATGTCTTTTCAAAATCTCAGACATTCCTTTGTATCATTCTGTTGTTTTTAAAATATGTGAATATTACAAAGAAATCAGAGGCCTTTATCATTTTGAACCTTCAACTAATTTTATAGGTATTACTATCAGTGTTATCTCCTCGTTACAAGAATATTAATGATGTTCTGGAAAGGATGGAGGTACCTGTTCATTTTGTTTGGTTGATTGGCCAACTAGAATCCTGTCACTGTCAGTGATCTTATTTGTAATGAGAGGGAGACATTTGGCTCAACAGTGATCTTCAGCATTCTGAAAATAATTTAGATTCACTTTTTCCTTTGACTTCTTTTTCAGTTCCAATGGTTTGAAATGTATCTCTCTATGGCTACAGGTTGGAATTCGATCAATTATATATATCTGTGTAACATTGCATTCTAATTCCCCTAACCACCAATGTAGGATATAAGACCCCTTAATTCCAATCCCAAGAAGTGGAACCTCAGCTATCTGGTTGGGACTGGCCTATAATGATAATTACTCAATATAGGATACTTGATGTAGGAACTAAATTCCAGGTGAAGAGCATACTTGTTCTGGATGTAGTGCAGTTCTCTCACTCATGTCCCTATCTTATCTTGGTACACCCATCTTCTATGCAGATGCTTCCTGTATGGATAATGCCCTCACTGGCCCCTCCATCTTATCCATGTGATATTCTAGCTGTAGTGTGAGTGGAAGTAAGTATGTTTTGGAAGTTAACATTTTCTATATTGAAAATGTATTTCCAATAATACTTACCTCCGCTGACATTTTCCCACCCATCCTTCCAACGAAGAGCCAGGATGGTGTCAGTCTTGAAGAAGTGATAACATTATCTAAATTAGATGCTTATATAAAGTACCAGAATAGAGGGTGCATTGACATAGATGGAGAGTATATAACTAAGGGCATTTCAGTGGGGTATAAAAGACTGGAGCAAACGTGAAAAATTCAGACCAATGCTTAGAGGGCGAAGATGGAAATCCTAGTGGTTGAGTAATAGCTATAAGTGTTAGCAGGGGTAAATATTATTGGAAATACATTTTCTATTTAGGAAAATGTTAACATACAGGGCAGTTCTTATCACTCCATTTGAAAACAGGAGTAACATTAGCAACTGTTCAGTCCCAAGGAACTTGACCAGTGTTTACAAAAATGAGAAAGGCTTGCATATCTATTCTTTGACTGTGTTTAAAACTTTAAGGAAAAACTTTACCTGGTCCCAGTGCTTTATCTGCTTTTATTCTCTTTCTACTTATTGCCAAGAGATTAATGTCCACACGATTAACACAATGTTTTGAATTGAATGCCTGCTAACAGTTAACCAAATCCCTAGCTTTCGTTTATTTCTCTAAAACTTTCATCCTATCTATCGATTTAAACTTCTTAAATCCCTAGCTTTCTTATAGCTCTGTAAATCTTTTAGTTTGAGCTTCATGAATTTAACATTTAACCCTGATTTCCTCGTATATGCCTTTCTTTACTAACACATTCAGGTTTGATCTTCCTTATTGTAATTCTCCTCTTCCTTTTTTTTTTTTTATAGAAACTTGCCTCTTAAATTTAAAGCAAATTTTGTTTTTTTAAATGTCTGTTTTACATCACCTTTTAGCTTATTCCAATCACTAATGAAAAATCTTGTCTCAAAATTAACTTCCTAAAAATACAGTTTCATTTCCTACAATACAAACTTGATCTCTCTTTTCCAAATGTCCTCTCCTCCTCACTTTAACTCTTGTAACTAAATCTTAACTTAGGGTTTGTGTTTTGTTGTTGGCTGTCTTTGATTGTTTTTCAACTTATATATTTTAATTATTTCTAGACTTGGAATGGAAAATTATCTATGTTGGTTCAGCAGAAAGTGAAGATTATGATCAAGTTCTTGACACAGTTTTTGTAGGACCCGTACCAGAAGGAAAACACATGTTTGTATTCCAGGTTGGTGTATTAAATTTTTCAAATATCATTTAGAAAATTGGTATTTAATAAACAACTTGATACAGGTTTAACAACCATCTGAAATTGGGGCCGACAGAGAGATTTTTTTTAACATTATGACCTGGGAAATTTTTATTTTCACCAATTTTTGCAAATATGCTGACCTTAATATTTTATCAATATATTATAGTTGGGATATTTTTTCTTGGAACTTCGTGTAGTCTGCAACGATGTGGGAGGGCATCACCTGATTACCAACTGATAGCTCAATGCTGATGGTCAATGCATTAAGGTTTGACAACATAGCTTATCTCTTCCCCCAGTACCCTTGACACTAAAATAATAAATACATGACCTAGCAAGGTTGCAGGGGAGAATTTACTAATGGATGGCATGTGGGTTAGTAGAATTAATCTAGTTAACAATAGATTTATTTAAAATTCTGGTATACAGTTGAGAGTGGAGTACACAAGTCACTAACTCGAAGTTTACAGTTAGAATAAAGAATTGACTTGGAGACTGAGATTCAAAACAAAAGCAACACTTTAATGAAATATCTTAAATTACTCGGCTACACATCTTGAAAAGTTTCACTGTTCAAACTATTAAATTTCTCAATCTGAGCAGATAACTATACTTCAGTTAAAATCTCTACAATATCCATTAAATTACTTAATACTATCAGTAAGTTATCAGTTAACACACTGATTGAGAATTGCTCAGACATAACTTTCTTCAATATTAAACATTGTGCATTCAATTTCTAACTACATTATTCGACTCTGAGAGAGATAGCAATAGTTACTTACACAGAGCTTGAGCAGGAAATGTTAGGCATCTTAAACATTGTTATAGGCTTGGACATAGTTGGATCAGGTAGGATCAGTTTTCTTCAACCAGTAGTAGGTTGTTTGGTTTATTCATATGAGCCAAGAGACCATAAAGATTTCAGTTGACAAACTGGCAGTAGGACCAATGAGGCAGGCGACTGACTTTTAGCCCCCAAAAATGGGGTTTTATATGGATTTCTTTAACCCTATCGCCACCAGTATCCTTTATTGAGCATGACACAAGGTTTGTCTTACATTCCAAATTTTATTAAACTACTTTTTGTTTATGTTATAGCAATTAGAATATCATAAAATTGTAGCTAATAATCCATATTTTAATAGTATACACGTTTTAAGTTCTTAATTCTACAAGGTAATATTTAAAAAAAATCCTGAATTTCCACTAGTGATACTCGCATGACACATTTTCTCTTAGCATGTCATCATCCCTGTTTTATCCACCACCCCTCAAAAAAGTATGAAATCAAATGTACATTATTGCTCAGAGAAACCAGAATTTTTGTAGTCTTCAATTTTGTTTGGTTACAGAGCTATTGAATAGAAAGTCAGACCCCCTTTGCCACACCCACCTGTCACATCCTCTCTTTCAGAATTTGTTGATATTTCTCTCTTTTGCTTCATTATGTATTACCTATAACCAATAGAAAGTCATGTTTTTCATCAATTTCACTCACAGTACAAGATTCATTCCCATGGGAAAGTTAATGACTAGCTTGGATGAATTTGTAATGACTCTTGTCGCATAGTTAGAAAGCCAGAAAACTTTTGTTATTAGTATATATTCTTTGGTGCATTATTTAATTAGATAAAAATTATTAAGTGCATTATTGTCTCTAGTATAAAAATTAGGGTTAACTCTCTTCAAAAACTTACAGCAAGAAAAAAGATTGGTTAAGTATTTTATTTCATTGTTTTTCATTTTTATTCTTTATGTATAATTATAAAAATAACTCAAATATAAAAATAGGGATCATTCTAGGTTTCTTAAGATTAGATTAGGTAAATTAAGTATTAATAATAATATGATTAAAATGGTTCAAGAGGCATGCACGTGAGTGGATAGTAGTTAGGCACGGTTCAAAGGGCAATAAAATAATAAAATTTAATTATAAATAGATGTATACTGTTACAAACTTAGAGCTACTTAGGATAAATGAATGTAGTTTCATGTTACAATTTGAAGTCATTCTAGAAAGAAAAATTAATTTTTTTTTGTGATTATGAGGTCAGTGGAATTGACTGATCACATTTTGAGATAGGGTAGAAAAAATAACAGATAAACTGAAGTTTTACTTTAAAAATGTTTGAAATGCATTTAGGTTTTGGGTATTACACAAAAGAAATGAGATTTTTGAGATGAGAAAAAGTATTTTTAATTTTAACATGAAAATTGCTGTGCACGTGGACTATTCAAAACAAATACTCAATATATTCCTGGACAAATCTAAATTTTATGTTATTAAAAATAATTCACTAAATAATATGATTTTTTGTATGTGAAAGACTTATAATATTAACTGAAAGACTGCCAAATTTTATGAAGATATACACACTACATTGAAAGTTAGAAGTATTGAATCTATAAAGACTAAACAAGTACAAAGAGGTCATGTGGTTGGTCAAATTAAATGAGCCCCTAATGAAAGAGTTTATATTCTTATGCTTCTCCAAGTAGTGTACACATCCAACTTGCAAGTAGATCTGTCACTTAATTGAATAGATTTTGTTGTCTCATCATAATTCTTCAGAAGTAAAACCAAAACTAATTCAACAACTGGTTATGATTGAAGACAGTAAATTGGCAGCCTGTTTACATGTATATCTCCTCGTCCTCTTCAGATAAAAGTTCCGCTCAGAGCCTCTGATTTCCTTGCTAATTTACTTTATGAAAGTTGTGTCCAGTCTTTAATAAAGTTAATATAAACTTTATCACAGCTTTCTCTCTGCCACTGTTATATCAGTCTATAGATAATGTAAACAGTTGATTCTCAGTACTGCCTGGAATGCATCTCAGTTTATATTTGACATATACATTTCCTTTCATGGTCAAGCATCATTGTGTAACTCCTCATATGCACTCATTAGATGTGCCCATCTTTTTTCATATTGCATGTATGTATATCATACTTGGAATTTTATGAAATTATAATGCTGCAAATGCTTCACAAAGAGCATATTTATAGCTTAGTTAAAAAACAGATAAATTATAGTAATTTGGAACATTCTCTTCCAACGTGGGATATATTTTTTGTGTTCTAAAATTTGTATTTGAAAGCTATTCAAATTATTTTTGTACAACCAACATATTTAAAAAAGTATACTTACTAAACGATGCATCTGAACAAAAATGGCTTCAACACCAAAGTAAGTGTTAAATTTCTTGTTTGTTATGCATGTTTTTAGTTTATTATGACATATTTGTTAATGAAAGTATCTAAAATGTAAAAGTTAGACTTGTTAGGTTAGATAAAAATTTCAGTTCCAAATATTAAATAAAATTATCCATGGTAACTATCCTAGCTCTTGGAAAGCATGCTCTCATAGTGTAGAATCATTTTAACTTGATTTTTCATTTACAATAAGTTGTCTTGCTGTGATATATTAGTTTTCACTTACTGTAATTGGGTCTAAAGTATACTGTCAATGCAATAAGGCTAAAAGAAAGCAAGTTTGAAATGGTTAGAAGCTGAGGCTGTTAAGATAAATAAATGGATTTGTCTGTTAAAATCAGTCAATTCTAAAAGTAATTTTGATTTTATTTAATATTTTTCAATTTTTTATTTCACTGTACACAAATGATTTTGCTACAGTTAGTGATAAGGTAAAGAAAATAAGATATATTTTACTAGAACAAAACTTAGGAAATTCTAGAGGCAAATTAAACAGTAAGATGAAGTATTTTTATTTTTAGACTAAGTTTCACTTTCACTAACTTGATAATTTCACAATTGATAAAAATGCTTTATTAAAAATTCAAATTTTTAATACAATGGACTTGTGATGTAAGTTTTGTGAATATACACTTGCTACATTCAGAGTTATGGTATGTGTAATTTCATAGTTACATTGTGGCTAGAAGGTTAGTTAAACTGACTGACCTGAATATGCATAGGATTAAAAGTTGTACTTTCATGGAATAGATGAAAGAATTTAGAAGTCAATACAAAATTGTTGTGGTAGTAGAAAGTATATTAATGGTGATATGAATGGACATTCTTTTGGATTGGTAATGTGACAGTTAATCCCACTATTCATTGTTAAAAGAGTAGGTCATAAGTTGGCGGTGGGTGGTGATAACTAGCTGCCTTTTCTATAGTCTTTCATTGTTAAATTAGGGACAGCTAGCACAGGTAGCCCTTGTGTATCTTTGTGCGATATTTAAAACACACCAAAATTTTTTGAATTGGAATATAACTAATGGAGTTCAGGAGCATGTTGCTCTTTTGTTTTTATTGGCATGAACAATTTGGATATAATATTTCTAAGTTTCTTGACATAATCAATTCAGCATGGTTGAGGTTTTTCTTATTCAAGAGAACCTGTACAGTTTTAGTGACTGGGCCAGAATGTCAAAAAGTAAAGTTATAAGCTATGGAGATGTGTGTAGGTAAATATTATTGTATGACAGGATTTAGGTGAAATATTATGAAAGTTTTATGTGAGAGGCTGTATTTAGTTTAGTTGTGATACATCAGTTTTGTTTTATTTTTTATTGTGTGTGTAGATGGTGACCTTTTGTTATCATGATCTTCCTTATGTTTTCAATTCTTTTTAATGTTTGAATAATGTACCAGTTCCAAATGAATCCACTTAAAGTCCTTGTACATAAAGGTACATATTGTTATTTCTGATTGGTCAAGAATTCTGGAGTATATTACTACTTTATAATAATAATCTACTACATTTTGAGTGTAGAAATAAAAATATTTGGCAGGATTGTTGAAACTTTGTAAATTGTTGGCACAAAGATATTTTTTTATCTCTCTCTCTCTCCTTGATTATGTTACATGAGAATTTCAATTGTTTCAGGCTGATCCACCCGATCCAGCTAAGATTCCTGTACAGGATGCTGTGGGTGTTACAGTGGTGCTTTTAACTTGCTCATATCGTGGAAAAGAATTTATTCGTGTTGGCTACTATGTCAACAATGAATATGGTGATGCTGAACTACGAGAGAACCCTCCATCTGTACCACAGTTTGACAAAGTGAGAGGGATGTTTTCTTAACTTAATAGTGAAGGGGGATATTTATTTTTAAAGAATTAATTACCTTAGGTTGACAAAATAAGTTGATAAATACATTAAGTTTGTGTTGATGTGTAAATCTTTGCATCAGATTTGTATTGTGTTTTCTTCAGTTACTACTATAAGCACTTTGAACAGGAAATTCATGAATATTTCAACCAAAAGTTTTTGACTGCTTTAAAAACTTTTAAGATACTAAACTTGAATAATCTTTAAGAAAAATTATGTATATATCCAAATTAAGCAGATACTTGAGTATGTCCATGATTAATGTGCTTTTGAAAGCCACTGAATTTATCTATTGTGAGCCTTCAGGATTTCTAACTAGATATAGTTGGTGAAAATATTAATACCAGCTAGGTTTGTATGGATCTTGAAAAGCCCTTGGAAATAAGGGTCTTCTTCCAAAATGTTTCATGCTTATTTTAATCATTACATCAAAGTTTTAAAAAATGGGGACTGTTAAAGGCAAAAATGTGGGGTAATGTTATTTAATCAGTCTATTTAATGCTCTATCAGCAGCATATTAAAAGAAAATTATAAAAATTTCCAAAACAGCAAGTTTTCTGTAAAACTGACTTCATTAATATTATCAACTATATAATTAAAATGCTTAATGAATGTTATTATTATTGTTAATTTTTTATACTTTTGATGACTATCTTGCATTGCTAGCTTTGTATATAAAGTTAGGAGTAACTTAAATCTCTTGAGCTAGCTAAATTGCATAAGATAGTATTCAGGTACGAGATAAAAACATCATTAATAGCAAGAGTTCTCGACTTATGATTCAGTTTTGTTTTAATACTTAATCTTTAGTCTTCTCGTGAATTAATTTATGATGCGTCATTTTGTTATATGAAATTCACTTCATTGATTTACAAGTTACTTCTGATTTGTATAGTGGGCTTACCTTTCATCAATGGTTTTTAATAATTATAGTTAAAATATAAATATTTGTTAAAAGTAATTTTAATCTTTTATTTATAGCTACAGCGCAATATTTTGGCAACAAGTCCTCGTGTAACAAGATTTAAAATTGATTGGAATGATAATGTTATGGAAGAGGTAAATGGTGCAGGTGAAAAGAATTCTACAGAAAGTAACCACATTCAACAGTCTGAAGACAGTATAGGAGCACTTAAACCAGCTGCTTCATATGACAGTAGCCAAAGTATGGAAGTAACATAACACTTTGTTTGAGCCTTCCATATTGTATGTATTGTATTTTTGAAAAGGAATTCTGTGCATTAAGTGTAATTACATTTTGTATCAATATTGTTGGTAGGTTTGAATAAAAAAAAATATGAACAAGTCATATTGGGACTCGATGCTCACTGTTTTTTTATTATTAATTACTTTCTGAGTGTATGCAGCATAACAATATCTCCTATTTCAGAGATACCTTTAATAAAACTTAATTATTGTAGTATTTAAAATTGATAAGGACTGTCTTCTTTTATAAACATGCTTAGTGAAGATCTACATTAGCAGCTAAAGCACATGGTCAAATATCCATTACACTTGTTGAGTGTTACGTTTATATACCATTGAACTAACATCATCACTATCTCTTCTCTAACCCTGAACTTACTGTAAGTGATAAATTTAACTTTGTTTTAATGGTTAAATATCTTTTTGTTTAGTTTTATATTATTTCATGTCTAAATAATACCTAGAGGTCATTGTTTGAAGCCTATCTTGAGAAAATGTAAATTTTGTTTAGTTTTTGGAATATAATTTTTTCTATGAATTTTACAAATACTAGATTTACAAGGTTGCATAAATTGTTTAATGATCATTCAAAGGGTACAAGTAGTGGAAAATAAATGTACAGATCATGCCTTCTAACCTTTAATGAAGAAAATATATTTATAAACTGTAAAATACAGAAGATAATATTTTCCTGTGACAAATCACGAATCTTACATTTACATCTAATAGTATTTCTATTAGTGTTGTACAAGAATTGCCCGTCATACTTAACAAGATGTGAGATATTTTGTAGTAAACATAACTATTTACAGAGTAGATGTTGGAATGATCTAAAATAATTGCAGAAAATATTGAGTAATACAACACCTGTACTAATAACTAAAAGTTTGAAGGTTGAATCTTAAAATTTAGATATTATGGAGCACACATTATCGTGAGATTTTCCAATGATCTTGTTGTACCAGGGGCCGACATGTTAGAATTGATATTGATGCTATGAAAACGTTTGTTGAGTGTAATCCAAGGCAACACGCTCGTGAAATGCCCTGAAATTGCATGTCTCTCATGAAACAATACGTAAACATCTAAGGAATGTGGGACAACTCCATAAAGAAGGTGTTTGGGTGCCTCACAAACTCTCCGATAATCATTGTTTCCAACGTGTGAACATTGCTTTGTCTCTTCTGGCGCATGAGCCATTTTTGGACAGAATTGTCACCGGTGATGAAAAATGGATTCTCTATATGAATATTAAACAGCAAAACAATAGATCAGTCCTAGACAAAAACCTCTTCAACTGAGAAAAATAATAGCTTGTTTTTTCTAGATGTATTGGTGAAAAGGAATGTGTAAGGTAATTTAGAAACATCAGTTTACCGGAAACCTTTTTTTGTTCTTATGCCCCCACAACAGGAATCATGCCATATTAGGTCACAAAGAATGTCTTCATTTTATAGTTATGTTAACAGAGCTTTAAAGGATTTAAAAACGAATTGTTATTAATTAAATATATAGCAGTCGAAAGAGGTTTCAACCCAATTATTGTAGATAGGGCAGTTAAGAAATTCACTAATGCTATAATAATTGATCAAATTAGTACTTTAAAACCTAGTTATGAAAAAATTAGAAAGGAAGGCTTAATTTTACCATATGTTCCAAATTTAACTACTAGTTTATTTAAAGTGTTCAAAAAACAACAGATATTCTACCCTATATTTAAACCGATAAATAATATGAATCAAATGTTAGGTTCTACGAAAGACGAAATACATTTAACTGAAAAAACTGGAATATATACACCTGGAAAAAAGTTAATGAAATACAGTTAACTGGAATATATAAAATAGAATGTGAATGTGGAAGTATTTACGTTGGTCAGACAAAACGGAATTTAAAATATTGTTTAAATGAACATAAGGGATATGTAAAAAATAAAAACACTGAAAATTCATCCATAGCAGAACATGTACAGAAAACACAACACACAGTATTATGGGAATATATAACTGTAATATTAGCTCAACCAAATATTATAAGAGCTAATAATATTCGTGAATCTTTAGAAATAATAAAACATAAAAAAGATCATGTAGTATTAAATAGAGATGAAGGTATGGCGAACATTTCTGCAAAAATGTGGAGGGTGTTAAAGAGGACTGACATATTATTTGCTTCAAAGCCAAGTGATTTCTTTAATCAGGGCATTAACAACCTGAATGTAAGATGGAAAAGCATCATCGATAAGAATAGAAACTATTTATTTAATAAATGTTTGTTTTGATATACAAGTTGTTCGGGTTTTTTCATCTAAAGAAAGCGACATTAGTTTCTTGACAACCTAATACTTATAAATCAAATTATGATAACCCACATCCATTATCTTGCATTTATTATAATTAAAATCCTCTGCCATCTCTCACTAAATGATCTAAATTCTTTTGTAAAGCAGCATCCTCATAGCCAGCAAAACTGAAGACCTTGATATCATCAGGAAATTTAAGTAATTAATACCCATCTGCCAATTATTTGCCCAACTCACCAAATGATCTAAATCCTTTTGTAAATCAGCAGCAGCATCTTCACAGCTAGCAACATATAATCTGCAAATGTAAGTGATTTATTGACTATTCCTTCATCTACGTCATTAATGTAAATCAAAAAGAACAAAGATGCTAAGACTGAGAACTGAGGTACCCTGGGCCAGGTGGTTAGGGAGCTCTACTCCCAATCTGTGGGTCACAGGTTCGATTCCCCGTCACACCAAACATGCTTGCCCTTTCAGCCATGGGGGCATAATAATGTGACAGTCAATTCCACTATTCACTGGTAAAAGATTTGACAGTGGATGGTGATGGCTAGCTGCCTTCCCTCTAGTCTTTCACTGCTAAATTAGGGATGGCTAGCGCAGATAGCCCTCGTGTAGCTTTGCAAAAAATTCATAATAAACCATAAACCTGAGGTACCCCACTTGTGTTATTAATCCAATTTGACTGAACTCCATTTGTAACAACCCCCTGTTTTCTTCCATGTAGCCACTCTTCTATCCAATTTGCTAACTTAAGCCCCATGCCTATAGAGCTATTTTTTTTTACAAGTCCTGTATGTGGCACATTGTGAAATGATTTTTGAAAATCCAGATACACCTTTACCCTCATCTACACTGTATGTGTGTGTGTATATGGGTAATAAATATTAAGTATTGCTTTTACATTTTTTAGTAACATAGCTTCCTTAAGGAAGAGTAAGTACACCAATTCTGGGTGTCATAAAATATTAGTAATTGTAAATATCATTGTATTCTGTTGATCAACTGCTTACAGTTATCACTTTTTTTTTAACATTAGAAAACTCAACAATAAAGAAACAAACTGTCTTTAGAGTAATTATGGGTGGAGCTGCACAGTAGTTTCAGGTTTAAAAATTTATCAAAAATAAATGACTTTACAATATTTGTTAATGGATTGTAATGCTGTTTTTATGAGTGTAGCTACAATGACTTTACAATATTTGTTAATGGATTGTAATGCTGTTTTATGGGTGTAGCTACAATGACTTTACAATATTTGTGAATGGATTGTAATGCTGTTTATGTAAAACTATAATTGTACTTTTCCAATAATACTATTAATTTCAAAAAATAACTAGTTAATAAAGCAGTGGTCATGAGGTTTTGTTATAAGAAAAGTCGTTCACTTAGATTTAAATGATCTTGGAATTGAAAATAACCACTGTTGGCAGTAGTAATAATTAATCACTGAACATAGTTTTAACCTCCACAAACAATACAGGTAATGTTATCATACAGAAATAGCTATCAGTCATTGCAATTTAAGCTGATGAAACATGATATTATGTAAGACAAATAACAGAATTACATTCTTCCTGACTAGCTCAATATGGAGTCCCATTAAGAAGAGTATATCAGATAACCTTCTTTTGCAGGCAACTGTTATGTAGGTCATTCATTCAGTACCATGTTAACAGTAGTAAAAATCACTTTAAAGGAGTTCTCGAGACTTTTCCTCATAGTCTATATAATATCAAATTTTCAGTAATTGAACAGTGCTTCTTAATTGCCAAGAAATACAAAAAAAACTTATGAAAAAGTGTTATACCACATTGTATTTGAAAAATAAACAGTACTGCTTTCAACCGAGTACTGAAAAAGACATACTATGAGTAATATTGTAGTATTCTCAGGTGCACTGATTTATTTTATAATAATTGGGTAGAATCTATAATGGTGAATTCAATGGGGAGTTATGTTACTAGCTGTCCCAGGAAACTGAACTAACTGGAGGAGAGTTACATTACTAGCTGTCCCATGAAACTGTGTAGTCACTGGAGGGGAGTTACATTACTAGCTGTCCCAGGAAACTAGTAACTGAAGGGGAATTACACTACTAGCTATCCCAGGAAACTAGTAACTGGAGGGGAATTACATTACTAGCTATCCCAGGAAACTAGTAACTGAAGGGGATTACACTACTAGCTATCCCAGGAAACTAGTAACTGGAGGGGAATTACATTACTAGCTATCCCAGGAAACTAGTAACTGAAGGGGAATTACACTACTAGCTATCCCAGGAAACTAGCAACTGGAGGGGAATTACATTACTAGCTGTCCTAGGAAATACTGGTAACTGGAAGGGAGTTACATTACTAGCTGTCCTAGGAAACTAGTAACTGAAGGGGAATT